GCAGTTCTTGGCCTCACGGATGCTATCCCACAGCGGGGAGTTTCCTTTCCATGCCAAAGATTCCAATACCTGCTCCTCAACATGGTTCAGATGTTTGACTACCTCCCGGAAAAGACCCTCCTCCGCCCTCACCAACACCTCAATCACATGTGAGCGAGATAGAGAGGCTTTGGCTTTTATGAATGAATGCATACAATTTTATGGTTATTTTCTATCTCTATAGTCACTTACCTTATAAAAGTGATAAGCGGGGAGGTCAAAGATTTGCAGGACTCTGGGAAACTCTCCCGGTGGTCGATACGAGAAGATGACGATCTCCAGGCAGCAGATGATCAGTGACCGGTGAAATATATCTTGCTCTAGAATGCCCTGAGACACATGACACTCAGCAGACATAATTACCTAAAGTATGCTGCTAATATTCAATAGTTTTGCATTCCTCATGGCTTAGTTAAGGCATATAGTGTGATTTGTGTGAAAATGAAACCTACAGACAGGTCCATATCTCCAAGTCGTTTCTTCTCCTGGTTGATGATCACTTCCAGTGATTTGTAATAAAGTGCCTCAGCCAAGCAAAAATACTTCACTGCAACATCTGTGAAAAAGGATGCCCCAATTTTTTTTTTATCAATCAATCAACAAATGATCATTGTTTGAATTGTGGGAAAAGCCATGAGCTACAAATTAAAGAAGAAAAAAAAAGAGAATAATATGACAAGTAAGTATGAACATGCACACCTCTCGCCAGAGTCTTGTTATCGTCTCCTGTTCCCTCATAATTCTGAAGAAAAATCTCTGACATCTCCTTCAGTCTGGCTGCTATGGACTCACTGGGGTCTCTTACACATGATCTGTTACACACAAACAAAAAAATATCAATGATTCCCGCGCACAGCAAATTTCACTGCGACTTTAACAGGTCACTGGAATCACTGCAATCACAATCACTAGAATCCCAGTTTTACTGGAATCCCTGTAATCAGAATATACTGGAATCACTTAATCATTTGTGTCATATTTTTCGGGAAACGGTGGTATCACATTTTACTGTGATCATGATTCAATAGAACAAATGTGTTTACTGGCATCACAATTCATTGGACTCGCTGGAATCAGTTTCCTTGGATACACATCTGGATACACATTTGGCTGGCATAGGTAGAATACTGGAATACACACTTGACTAATCATTGGTAACACATTTATATGGAAATAACTGAAATTACGTCAATTCATTGGACTAACATACTGGATTCACAAATTTACTGGACTCTCTGAAACACAGTTTATGGAAATAGCTGGAATTACATCAATTTATTGGACTAACATCTTACTGGAATCATATTTTTATTGGACTCTGTA